AATTGCTAAAACGATATTACGCTGTTCTCTCACGAACTGGAACTGTATTTACGCGGGAACATGTACAAATGAAAACATCAAGCATTGACAGATGAGCAGGACGTCAGTTAAGAGACAAAAAACAAATTGGGGACATTTTCATAGTTCAATGTATACAATGACTAGAAATGGTTATGAATAAGTTATCTCACTGTAAGATATTCATAACAGATTTGAAATATTGCAGAAGATGTCACATGCCATCGTTCGTTTTTGCAAAAATACGGGCGCCAAGGTCGAGCAAGGAGTGTATGATATAAATATTAAATATTATGATGACAGGTGATTGGGTTCAGGCGACTTTTCTCCCCATTTCGTTTGCTAATTACTGAGTAACGTTCTTTCCTGTCACATAATTCAGCGTATCCCTAGCGAATGTGGTGTCAGAAGCGTCATAACTTTGGCACACGGGGCAGAAAATATCTTGCCTATTCACAAGGATTACAATGAAGGTCTTCCGGGACCAACTTTCGCTGAAATTGTTGGAATAATGTACTGATTCAGTTAATGATATCCTCGATGTAATAAATCTCTGCTAACAGAATCTTGATTTTAAAGAAGGATCATGTTTGACCTTAAACGCAGAGACAGGCAGATGCAGAATCACACACACACACACACACACACACAGAGAGAGAGAGAGACGCACGCACACACACACACACACACACACACACACACACGCACACACACACACACGCACACACACACACACACAAGTTAAATCTGAGATTCAAACCGATACTCAAAGATTACTGACAGGTCTAAAGGTAGCATCTCTGCATAGATGGCAGCAAAAGATGACCAGCATTCAGCTACGTCTACGCAGCTTGTCTGTCGACATGGAGATATTTTTAGACGTCATTTGCAGACATTCATCATTTAGTGTCAGTTCGTCAGTTGCAGCATAACCAATGACTGAAATTGGTACCAGTCGAACAATGAATATGTCAAGCATGGGTTTCTATGACAGGACGGTAAAAAGCCTTCGTGTCTTTGCATGAAATGATCTAAACATAAAAGCATTAAGTTATGTTCTTTTTGTCACACATTTATTGCAGATATCCTCAACAGGATCTAATTTTCAAGTAAAGAAATATTCATTACAATGCATGTGATGCACATTGATCGATTAATGTTCTACATTACATACAGCAATGCAATTTTATGACTACCTTAATTAATTTATCTAAGGCAGGCAAAAACTAGTGATTGATCGCATGTATACCGGTCGCAAGAGGAAATAAGTGACGTGTTTATTTATAGCTTATTCTAACCGCTGTCTATTCCAGAAACAATATCAGCAAGGCCGTATGGCAGTAGGGACTACTTCAGTTGTCAAAAGTCAGCTTTCCCTTTACGTGGAGTAATATCCCAGCAATCACAGCCTTTATTGGTTTCTACATTTCACGACTTTAAAGCTGCAATCGAGCAGGTTTTCTACTTTCTATAAACACATGCCAATGACGATGTCGTTACAATGTATTTGTAACATCGTGTTCTGTTTTATAGTTATAATACACTAGTTTTATACGTCGAGTGCAGATAGCTATAGCCATTTGACTTTTAGGGCAACCATATTTGAGCTCTCCCAGCCTATATGTATCACTCGGTGACCTCCTTTAAGACGACCCAAACAAGTCTTCTAAACAAATATGTGCCAAATCATACGGCTTTTTTACAGTGCACAGATGCATCACTGAAAAGCATATAAACCATAGGATTGGCATGGACGGCTGTTGAATCACAGCATGTTGCCGCTGAATGTGTCCTTAGTGGTTCATAATGTGGAGTAATATATGGACTGTGGATGTTATTATGCCACTGAATCTACCAACAGCTGACAAGAACATAAATCTCTGACATGCAGCAAAATAACAGCTCATGTGTTGTGTATCAGCGTGAAACCACAGGACTGGAATGGGGATTGTGCGTGCTTGGCGTTGAATAAATTGCAAGGATGAGAATGTAGAACTCATATGTCCTTAATATATTCCAGAAGCATATATATTAGGCGATTTCGTTTGATGGTGAACAATAAACATGGTTTATATGCATACATCTGAAAAGCAGCGCTCCGCGGGGATATGCATGTTCTGTCTACGTGATTAACTAATAATAGTATGTAATTGATATAATTCCCATGGATTTATATTTCTCCTGGTCTGATGTTTATGGGGACTTCTATTCCTAAGGACGTTTGTGTATAACTCTACATATATCTGTCACTTTCAGAGCAGACTTTCTACCAGACTATGTGATTGTTCCCCCACATTACATTAACTACTCACTTCCCACCTTATCCCTGCTTCTCACTCCGTTTCCTCTCTCTCTCTCTCTCTCTCTCTCTCTCTCTCTCTCTCTCTCTCTCTCTCTCTCTCTCTCTCTCTCTCTCTCTCTCTCTCTCTCTCTCTCTCTCTCTCTCTCTCTCTCTCTCTCTCTCTCTCTCTCTCTCTCTCTCTCTTAAAAGTTCATACCCAAAAAAACATACTTAAATGGATGATGTTGTCGTCCTCCCAATAAGTATCCCAATATTGACATTCGAGCATTTCAAAGGGTCACATCGAACTAACGAGGCACTTCATACAATTATTGACCTTTCACAAACCAGAGACTTAATCCTACGTAATTAGCATCATTGTAAGTATGATCAGCCATTTTCATTAGTCATATGGTTGATGCAGTCTGGTACATTGCGCTAGATATGGCGGTGTATTTGAAGGGGATTACCTCGGGGACGTATCGTACATCTGAAAAACATACACCAAGACTTGACGCGGATTGTATATGTTCAATGGCAGACAATATGACTTAAATGATGTGATATTGGCATGACCATCATAGGATTACCTCCCGTGCTTTCAGTGATCAAAGTCTCAGCAAAGATATCAAAACGACTTATGGTAGACATGAGGTTTCCACATCCAAATCAGTGACAAAAATGAAGGACTAGGCCATATCCTGTAATATACTAGGGGCGATCAAAAAGTATGTAGAGTCACCAAGAATACGATACAAATGCAATTATTTTTATATTTTATTTTTCTACATGTCATCTGTCAAGCTCAAGCAATTTACCGCCTCCGTGTGTAGGGGTTAGAGCGTCCGCCCAGAGAGCGGAAGGTCGCGGGTTCGATTCCGGACCGCGTCATACCAAAAGACGTTAAAATATGGTACTTGTTGGTCCCTGCTTGGCGCTCGGCATTAATGGGTACAACAAGGACTGGTCGACTCGGAGTCACTATAATGTGTCTGAGTGGGGTATTCATGCTTCATGGTATCTCAGTGGGCTAGCACTATAAAACCAGCTTCAGTCTGGGCTAGTTCAAGCAGCCGCACATACACATACACACGCATGCACGTCGTCATATGAGCGAAATATTCTCAAGCACGACGTTAAACCCCATTTCACCTCACGTCACCTCAAGCAATTTGGTTTTGCTATGTTCCAGTCTCACGATCCCCATTTTGTTTGACCTTTTTCTTGGTACCCTCAAAAAACGCAAAATCTACAATAAATGCATCAAAACTTCAGGAAACAAAACATGCAAGGAATATGTTGTGTGTTTGAGATTGATAGAAGTCCCCTAGAATCACACTTAGATATTAAAGTTCATAAATGCAATTTGAAATGACAATCGCTTGTTAAAGTGACACTACCCATCCCCTTTCAGACGACGTAATCATAAGGACATAACTTATTCTAATGTTTTCACGTATTCATACATGATGCCAAGGGTTCAATCTAAACACTGAATGGTCAAACGAGTGTCAGCTCACAATATATTGTAAACAGTACCAGCTTGAATATCTGGACACAATGTTTTAGGAAGATTAAAATGGGGGTGTCCGTAAAAAACAGCCCTCGACTAAACATAAATTAAGCAATCCAAATCTTTGACTGCTGATTATGACGGGAAGTCATCAAATACTATACTGAACATATTTTATATGATATACTCTGAGGGCATACCATTATCCAAGGGGTACCAAATGACAGATCGTTTTTCATTTTCTGCAGTTTTGTTAGAAATATTATACCCCAATGTGTTGTGATGACTAATATCTCGTTAACCACATTACCCACATATATGAAATTTTGGATATGACTTTGCTTAAGATTCCTTCAAAACAAAATGGAAGCTTTGCAAACATTGGACATCGAGAATACAGTTAGTCTACGTAATTTCTGATCGACCCACGTATCTTGAAGTGTACATGTATTATTCAGGTCCAATAATGATTTGATTTTCCATGTATTTTGACGGGCACCACCAGTACGGGAAAATATGTTCACGTTTTCGCGAAAACATGATATCATAACTATATAATAGTGATTCTTCTTTTTCACGATACAGTCGGAATCGTACAATCGGTTTTGCTTTTAGCAGAGATTTCTTGTGCGTGTAAAAGGTGGTTTTGACTTTAATATATATCCGATGGAACGTTTCAGTGATTCAAGAACACTAAATGACTTGACCGATACAAACACTCAGCTGACTTCGGTCAATGTATGTACAAACTATCGGTTCCTGACAATTGCCAACGGTTACCGACAATAGCATTGTCAAGGTATGCGTGTGTTAAAACACATTTCTTAACCTTTAAACATATCTCTCCTTTTATACTTTGACAACACAGGGGTAAACTTTCTAGAAGACGTCAACTTGTACACATAACAACATGTTATGTACAAGCTTCTCTCCAGTGATGGGTAAAAAGGTAGCGAAGAGCAGATATTATTGAGTCCGTACCAAATTTGACTGACTTTTCACAATTTTTAGTTGTTTTACCATTCGTTTCATTTCGAAACAGTATATATCAGCCAAGGCAGTTCACTTCCCGAAAGCATTCATGTAGTGTATACCTCCGACAAGGTTATACAAGCGCCACGATGTCACTTTCGTTAACAAACTATATTGCCTTGATGCATGATGAACATTTCAATCAATACTACTCACCCTTTGGGTCCAGTTGTATCGGCGATCCGCAAAAATGGCAAATAACACCTGCTTAAAACCTTTCATCAGCTATCCATTCCAATTGCCCAGCAGTCATCGGTGTCACAAGCATAATATTATCAATCTGAAAAGAAGAACAAAACTAATTAAAGCTGACGAGTTTCAATTAAATTTGCTAAACAAAGTTTACCGAAGTTAGTAAGATGTTACAGAATAACGAACATTCTCAAATGTTGCCTTCTTACTGATTTTCTGCTAAATTAAACTACGAGTGATTACAATAATTAGTCATGCACATTTTTCTTTTCAAGTCTGCACTCTATTGGATTTAGCCAGTTTCTGGTAACGGCTGGAATTACTTGTGTTTCCCACAGTATAGTGTAGTCGGAGCCTGTGTGAGTGTGATACCTGTGAACGAAACCTAAGTATGAAAGTGTCATTTGCTTCATATGAAACCGTATCGATCACGAGAATTTCAGTTTTACGAAACTCTTTCGAAACTTTCATAAAAATATTAGAAAACATTTAATTAATTATCATCGACCCAGCAGTATCAATAAAATAAGTTTCATTATGATACATATTCTCTTTAATAGCCAATAACTGGGAAAAGAAAGGAATGCACATCGATTCTGCAATACAATTTCAAACTTTATATACATATCTTGACCGAACTGACATGAAGAATCAATCTGATTTGCCATAATTGCTTGCCGGGGAAATCAGGGATAATTAATTTCCGCGACTGTTCAAAAGTTGACGGGCATCCGTCGACGGAATTACCGACAAATTAAGGTAATTCGGAATAACCCCAGATTCTGCACATAAAATTCACGTACAAACGATCAATTATCGACCAGTGATGACTGGGTTTAGGATTTCCATTCCGGTAATTGTTTAAAGTCTGTGATTATTCTCTCTTCTTGAATCCTGAATCATGGTCAAAACAGCTGCATGATCAGCGGGAGGGAAGCAGTGGTCAAAATGATAACCACAGCATGTGATACACGATACCTATTCGACAACAACATCAGTGATTTACACAAGCAAAAAAAGCATTATAGACATGTGTCATGGTTACATCAAATTTTGTCACCAAAAAGTGGCTTAATCCATTAACTTTCTTTATCATAGGGTCCCGTTTGACATTTTGATGCGAGGATGTCTTGAATCCATTGCTGAGTGAATGTTATCGCCTTTCTTGCAGATGATACATCATGATGTTCTTAAAAGTCAAGTACATATCCACGTCGTGATTCCTGTCACCGTGGCCTGCAAGACGTTCGCCATTACTGACGTTAAAATTTCCTTTCATGCTCCGAAAATCTGGACGTGAAGCCATGTAATGTAGCTGTATCATGTAGGCCTGCAATCGCTTATTGACGCATCAGTCAGCATGAGTGAGTACGTAAAAACAGCATAATCTCGTCTCATGACGATAAAATCAATCAGAACTGGGTAATGTCTTCGATCTCATTTAGGGTCCAATGGACTAACGGTAAGACGAGAAGAACAATTCCATGACCTTCGATCCGTAACGGTGGACAATTTTTAAGTTAGTAAGGAGTACTTGGTTGTACTTGGTTGAAGAGGTTACATATTAGAAGCATTACTGTCACGTGAAATTCAAGTCCGTGAAATTGTTGTCTGGCGATACCGATGAAGACAATTTTCATATACAATAAGATAAGTTTGTTGTGAACCGGATCCTACGTTGTATTTTATAAGTTGTATGCTTCTCGCGAGGGTAATACGGTCTGATGTACGCCTCTTTGTAGCAGTGTTTCATCTGCAAGAAACTAGCGTATCAGCACTACACAGTAATCCTGAGTTCGATCGTCATGTCAGCGCACAAAGTTTACGATGGCATGCTTGCATGACAACGATATTTAATGGCGAAACAGAGAACATCGGGGCTATCTCTGAAAATAGACTTATCTGTCTTTAACACATCGTCATTTATGGACCATGAAACTGTCAGCGTGAAGCAGTACAGACACAACGGCGTTATATTTTGGCATCGTATATTCAAGACAGTTAATGTTAACCCTAGCAGCAATGGCGTTAGGTTGATACAAAAGTAAGCATATAGGAACCAACCTGAACATGACATTTTTGTTCTCAATACATGTTCTTGCTTCACACACATAGGAGATTCAATTTGTATTTTTTAGAGAAACAACCGAGTCCAAGTTGTTTTTTTAAGTGATTTCTGCATGTATGGGTTTTTTCTTCCTGAACAACCAACGCGTCTGTGTATCTTTTTATGCGCGCAACTTGTGCACTGTACCTTTTTTCTTTGATGGTGGTATCCATACGAAAGCATTTGCAATGACGTTTCGAAAGATGCATGGTGACATGATTGTAATCTATACAATTTCCATATTACTGTGTTTTGTTGGGGTTTTTTTTTGTTGTCGTCTTGTTTCAGTTTTTAACATTACAAATTTCTCGTGAAGATCCCGCTTAGAACTGGTCTTCAACAGAACATGTTTGTTGTGAAGAGGTCGAGTAGTCAGGATATGGCAGCGGTCTGTAAATAATCGAGTCTGAACCAGACAATCCAGTGATCAACGATGAACATCGATCTACGCAACTGAGATTCGATGACATGTGTCAATCATGTCAGCGAGCCAGACCACCCGATCCCGTTAGTGGCCTCTTACTACAAGCATGGGTTACTGAAGACCAATTCTAACCCAGATCTTCACGGGTTTGAAACAGCCTTTGATATATGTACATTATTTTCAAGTATTTTAAAGTTCATATTCGGCTGATGTTGTTCTTACGGCTTACCAAAACAATACATTATGATTTTTGTACGGGTATATATGTAAATAACAAGACTGAAGTTCTTAATGATCCTAACAGGCATGACAAACCTCACGTGCAATCTTTCAATGCCTTAAGAGCTTACCGACAAGAAGTATGAAATCCTATCACCATCTGTTGAAATCCTTATTTCGCATACATATTTTGTCAGGGTATACATTTTCAACAGACGTGTACTTGCTGTTTAGCTAATTGTTGTTGTTTTTAGTTACATTAAAACTGGTTGCTCACACGTGTAAGATATGTTATTAACATCCTTAAGGCGATGTATAAGCCCTGTGTATTAGGATATTATAAAATAATCTTAAATAGCATATGGTCGAAGCTGATATCGGAGATAACTGACACTTGGATTGATTGAGAGAGGTTCCCTTGATTGCCTCAGATGTGTGGAACCGCACTGGCATAAGGCGAATAATGACGCATTTTTCTTCACATGATTTGCTTTGGAATCATTCATTAGCATTTACGGTTCACATTAACTTGTGTTTGCCCAAGGAGGAATCGGGTTTATTCTGTCAATCTTGAAAATGTTTGTCAGAAGGTTTCCTTGATGTAAATATTGAGATTAATCGTGTCATCAAACTACCTCAGTATCGATCAGTATGTGATTAAAAATTGACATTGCATCTTAAAAGGATCAATACGTTTTGAATTTGTTAATCAAATATGAAGCTGTACTGTTCGCCAATAATTTGATTACAGAGGTTTAAGGGTTATTCGTTAATAGAAAAATAGCACATTTCATCAAGTTCCCTGTGGTAAATATCGCAGGGCTCTGCAGATAAATGAATCCTTTCAACAATATTTCCTTGAATACGCAACTCAAAGTAAAGAGTCACAAAATGGTGTCTGAACGAAAAAAATCCATGAGACTAGCCACGGAATTTTGTTGACTCTCTTGGAGATATTTAAACCTTTACTTCTACACAATATCCCATGGATTTTCTATACATGTCAGACAAACGCCACCACATTGAACGTGCCCTGTTGAATCTACTGAGAAAATGTTATTTCTAGACATCCGTAATTATCTCCCTTTCTTGCATAAAGACTTTGAAATAAGATTATGAGTTCGACTGGAAAAAAGATCGTGAAATGAAGTCGCTGAACAGTATTAAATAAACCATTTTTAAGTTTATTTGAAAGATCCATCACTGATTTGTTTGGAAAGTTTTGTTTTCATTCCGATCCTGAAAGCAACGTTTGAATAAATCACCATTAAATAAGTGGACGGTGCATAAAGTGAAGTACAAATATTGTTGAAGAGAATAGAAGATATGCGACCTGGTGATGATAAATTTGTTAGTGTACTTTAGCAATAAATGAAAATTAATCCTTTCAGATACTTTTCCCAGAAGTTTAATTCGCTTGTCAGTTTATAACGCTTGTCATTAATAAATGCACAAACTGAAATAACTACTGGCATATTTTGTTGTAGCTCGATGGCTTGTGCACATTTCAAACGTTGATGAGAATCGATGATAAATACAAAACGAAACGGTTGGCGTTTGCAAGTTGGTCATTGCTCGGAAGTAATGGCAAAACGAGCACACAAATTGAAAGGATGTCGCAGAGGATTTCACCATTTTGGTGAATAATTTTGGTGAATCAGAATGAATGTGTGTTGGGTCTAACGCCGCTGTGAACAGCTTACATCAAGATGCATCAAGGAGTACTTTAGCTGACAGACCAAGAGAATAATACCATGTGATGCAAAACGATGACCACTGGTTCTTGTACGACACATTACAACTCTCAGACCTAATGTATATAAAGATGGAACATAGGCCGCACTTAATTGGTTTGATGAGCAGTAAAATCGCCTTATCTGTTCATATTCAAATCGAAACATTAAATTCAGAGTGACAATTAAGTATCCACATGACTCTTTGGCTTCCCTATTCCCCAATATTCCAGCAGCTTCAGACATTTGTGTCTGCAACTTGTGAAATTTCAAACATCATCCTACTCTGGTTGATACGTTGTTTGGGTCACATGATACGGTCATCTTCTGGCGAACACCTTGCATCATCACTAACTGACACTGATTCATAATAATATAAAAGCGGAAAAACAACTTCCTTAAAATAGTATGAAAACTATACTTAAAGCAGAATCAGTTGATGATTCCGACTACAATATAAGCATTAAAAATATTTCTGTCAAATAGTGATGATGCCGATTGAGTGAGTGAGTGAGTTTAGTTTTACGCCGTACTCAGCAATGTTGCAGCTATATTGCGGCGGTCTGTAAATGATCGAGTCTGGACCAGACAATCCACTGATCAAC